TCATCCCCGTTCTTTGAACGCTTCCACTCGCGATCTACAAGGTACGTAGATGCATCTAATCACTCATTGCTAGATGAACTCCTAGATGGATCTTGGTGAAACCGTAGGAAAATTTTTGTTTTCTGCAACCTTCCCCAACAATTTCTACCAGCCCTAACAGCTTGGGTTGGGATAGAGTTTCGTGCAAGGCGCCAAGCGAAATTTCTTACCTTCCCTGGTACCTTAATTCTCTAGAGTTTCTTCCATTGATTCTGAGCAGCTTGTCAATTGGAGGTTGCTGGTTTTCCCTCCAGCCACGCCTCTCTTCTTCTCTTCGTATCGACAGGAGCCTATAGGCCGGACGGACAGAGAAAATTCCATTTTGTTCATAATGCCATGCCCAGCTATCGTCAAGATTACGCGAGCACAACGGAATGTTCAGAACAACCTGTGCGTCTGCCACCTGCAAATGTTCAGAAATTTGCTGCCTATTCTAGCTCTTTGTTGGTTCTTCAATGAGGTCACTCACCCATTCAGGAGGATTAGCCGATCTCGGGTGTAATGCTCGCAACATGGAATCACGTGGAAGCCAATTATCCTCCCACACCCTCATCGGTCGACCGTTACCAATCCGTCTAATAAGACCTTGTTTCAGCACCCCAACCCCCCCTGGATCGCCCTCCACACCTGGGAGGGGTTGCTTCCTAGCTCAGCCTGCAGTACATCGTTATCTAGATAGTACACCGCTTTGAGAAGCTTTGCACTGAGCGAGTCTGGATCTTGCACAAGCCTGCAAGCTTGTTTGGCCAGCATGGCCAAGTTAAAAAGTTGAGTATCCCGGAATCCTAAACCTCCTTGATATTTTGGCATCGTCAGAATCTCCCAAGACACCCATGCAACCTTCCTCTTCCCTTCTTTGCTACCCCAAAAGAACTTTCTCAGCATAGTATCGATTTGCTGGCACAAACCCTTGGCAAAAGAAAGCAAGACATCGAGAATGTAGGAACAGCTTGAGCTACTGGTTTAATAAGAATTTCCTTGCCCCCCGCCGCCATGCATCTCTCAATCCATCCTTTAACCTTCCCCCATAATCTATCCTTGATGTACTTGAAAAAAAATCATTTTTGACTTCCCCACATCTGAAGGTAGACCCAAATACCTTGCCGTCGACCCGTATGGGCTGTGCTTTTAAGACCAGCCCGAGCATGGATTTTTGGCCTGGCACGACACGTAAATAACGAGATCAGATCAGGCCTCACGGCCTTTTTATTCGCCGACTGGCATGGCATGGCCTGACTCACAGTCCAAGTTGGCCCTTTTAGTACCCCTCAAAATCTCCTCCTACCTTTTTAGTCCATGTTACTAAAAGGAGGAGATTTTTACTAGTCTATGTTACTAGTCTATGTTACTACCTCTATAGTGGGGAGTAACATATCTGCGGTAACATGCAACACTTCATTTATTAGGCTATAGACTCATCTTACCTTGATATGTGTGATGTTACTCATACTACTAGTAACTAGCTATTTACCACTTTCCTCTCTTTTTTCATTTATTGTTTGCTACATCATCTATTTTATCTAAATATGTGTGATGTTACTACCTATGTTACTCCCACTGCGGGTAGTCTTAGACATCGCGGTCGGTAGGAGTAAAATCTACTATATCCCTAAGCTCCCTAGGGGTAAAAGGCCTCACAATCAATTGAAGTGTCCAATTAGAATTGGGTCACCCGATTTTGACCAAGTCAATAAATTCTCAAATCTCTCATTCAATTTTTTATATTATACACTATGCTTCCTAATTTTTAAGTCGTCGCAATTAATTGAGGTCTTTGGTTTAGAACTTGGTCACCTGATTTTGACCGGATCAATAATTTCTCAAGGAATTCTCCCATTTAATTATTTTAATTTATCATATTTCCTAATTTTGAACTTTTTTATTCAATTGAGATATTCAATTTTTGAATTTGGTTTACGATTTTGATCGGGCCAGTGGTTTTTCAAATAAATCAACACCAACTGGCTAAAAGACATATCAACCCCGTGCATGCTCTTATCACCTAGAAAAAAAAGTCAATGTGATGATACTATAACACCAATAGAGTACATGAAGTCACCGACGCAGAAATTGTTGATTAGCGCATAGCACAGAATCACACCATGAAAGACTCACCAAATAACCGCATTATAAATAAACATAAAATACACTCCATCGTTTCCCCCATCCGCCAAACTAAATATTCCACCAGTTCCAAAATACAAGGGGTATTAGTTCTTCGGAAAGTCAAATTTCTTTAACTTTGACCATGTGCAGAGCCAAAAATATCGACATCCACAATGTTAAGCCAAAAAAAGATATCAAAATCCACAATATTAAGCCAAAAAATTATGGAAATTTATTTCATGACGAATCTAATAACACCAATTTCATATTAAGAATTTTGATATATTTCTTCATAAATTTGATCAAACTTAAACTGGTTGGACTTTTCAATAAAGTAATACACCTTATCATATTTTACAACAAAATGAGTATTTTTTTAAAAGAATCTCAACAACACCAACAACGCAGCAAAGCGCGCCCAACCCTTCTAGTTATTCAACTATTGCTTACTGAGGTTCGGTTAGTTCTGATTTAGAGGAGAAAAACATATGTGACTTTGATAGGTGCCACACATTGGCACACATATATGGCAACTTCGAACTTTTTTATGGCAAGTTTAGTTACGCAAAGATGGCAACTTTAGTTTTCAAGCATGGCAATTCTTTTCCGGATGGCAAGTTTCAGTTTTTTTAATTGGTTTTTCTTTTTGGATGGTAACTTTAGTTGTAAAAAACGTCAAAACCAAATTGCTTCGTGCCACATATTATGACACTTATTACTATTTGGGAAACTAGAGTTGCTCTAAATCATTCCTCCACATCTTCCGTAAATAAAAACTTTATTCCACCTGCAGATCAAAACTCACGCATGGTGCACGTACGTCCGCCTCTGACCATCACTCCATACAGCGACCAATGACTATGGCCCCTTCCACCATACCTACCCCCGACTACACCATATTTGAACTGGCTTATCTGATTCCCTGTCATCACCAAGCGAGCTAAATAAGGGGCTCCATCTCTGAACTGTCATTGGCACAACCGCACAAGTGTACACACCACCACCACCGTGACCCACGTTTCCGGTGCACCCAGTGGCCGAGCCAGGATTTGCTAACGTCCCAGGCGAGAAACCAAAGGCTAAAAACTACCAAAAAATTCAGTTTGAAGGCATACAAAAGTCAATCTATGTTGCAACAAAATTACTAACAAACATGATATTCAATGGCCTCTAGCAGTAATATAGGAACAAAATTACGAGAAAGGCGTTTTGGAGGCCGAGCTCTATGAAGGCCTTTATTTTTAAAAAATTCAAATTCAAACTTTTATGGTTCAAAAAATTCTGAAAAAAATATGCGTGTATGTAAGGATGTAACTCACATGTGTGTAAAAATTCATGATGAAATACCTTGAGTTGCGACCTGTACAAAAAAGACAAATCCATGGCATGGGAGGATGAATAGTATCATGTGTTAAACAGCCCCATATTTGTCTTTTTGCACAGCCCTCATTTCAATGTATTTTGAACTGAAAATTTACACACATGTGTATTATGCCTTCATGTATATCTGTGATTTTTTTCAGAATTTTTTGAGATGTAAACATACAAATTTCAATGAAATTTCAAATCTGAATCTGGAGGCCTCACTGGAGCCCGAGCTCCAAAAGGGATTTCCGCAAAATTACTAAATGTCAAATTTTATTTTCGCATCTAAGTATCTAACAAACATTGGCCTCTAGCAGCAACGGTTTAATCTAGCAACTGACAAAAATCATCATCTAGCAATAGTGGCATCTACAAACAAAAATTGAGGTTTGGAAATTGGAAGAGATACGACCATTTGCGTTTTCCTCTTGCTGCCTTGCTGCTGTCCAGTTGCTCTGTGACGCGGCTGTTGAGAAAAAGGCGCCTCCAAGGAAGGGCCACCTCGGCCACCTTGCCGGCAGTTCGTCGGGGCCACCGCCTCGCCGGACAAGGCGGCAGCCCACAACGGCGCAGAAGGGGACTGGGGGCGGGCGGTTGGATAGGTGTATAGGCAGAGGCGCAGAAGGGGATTGGGGGCGGCTGGATGGGTAGCACGACGACAGCCAGCGGCGGGGCGGCGGGCGGCGCCGACGGGCAGGGACGCGGCCACCGGCCTCGCCTAGGTTCGTCAAGTTGGGGGAAGGGGCGGCGGACAGGTTCGTCCAAACCCTCGTGAGTAGCACACGCACGCGCAGGGAAAGGCACTGACCTGGGTGGATGGGCCAGTTGGCCCAGGCTGCCTGGGCTAAGAAGTGGGCTGCGCCCCAGGCTGAACAGTGTTTTTTTGTATATATGGGCTGAGAAAATTTTCCACGCCCCAGGCAGCGGCCTGGGCTGCCTGGGGCCCAGCTCCGCCCATGGGTGCACCCACTTAATTATTACGCTATCTTCGTGTACTCCCTGAGCTCTTCTGTCTGTTCCGTACTGCCCATGATTTTGGTTCGAGTTTTTTTTTCCGGGAGATTTTGGTTCGAGCTCTCGGCAGCAAGTAAGGAGTATATGGACACATGACACTCTACGATGGCGATGTCAAGCTTAATCGATCATGCATAATTCTTCATCATTCAAAAAACTTACTGAACTGAAACACATTACACTGGCAACAACAAACCAAGCGAGACATGCGATGGATGCTTCCTACGCATCCGTCCATATCCCATACACGACTACACGTACACTTCAATCAAACACGAGACGTCGACGGCGCGAACGCAGTCGCAGACACATGCATGCATGGCCATGTAGCAGCAGCTATTTTATTGTAGCAACCAAAAAGCTAGCGGAAAATGATTTGTAGCAGGCTAGCTCTACCAAGTAGATGGACGGGTGCAACGTGTGGGCGGACGGTGGGCGTTGGCGTGGACGTGCTGGCGGCCGGCCGGCTCGGCCCATCAGGGAGAGTCGGAGCGGGGGCGGAAGGGGTTGGGAATCTCAAAGCCGGGGTTGGGCACCCAGGTGTCGTCGGCGCCGGGGATGAACTGTCCACTGGCGGCGGCCGGGATGCTGTGGTCCAGCCCGCCGATGTCGGGGATGTAGTGGGTGCCCAGCTCGTACCGCCCGATCCCCGGGATCAGCACCGTCCCCTCCTGGAACGTGTCCGGCCGCTTCACATCGTCCTCCGCGGGCTTCTCCGCCGGCACGCCGCGCGCCGCCGAGCCCAGCTCCGTGAGGCACGCCGCGGCCACCAGCGCCGCGAGGATCAGCAGGGACGCCGACTTGCTGGCCATGCCGATTGCTGTGACCGGGACTGGTGGTAGCTGAGCTGAGTGAGCTTCTCTTGCTGTCTCGATCGCTGGCTGTTGCTTTCGTGTGTGGTGGATGGTGATCGCCGTGCCGAGCTTATATAGAGCGCGTGGCGTAACGCAGGGATGATCGGAGGCGTGCCGCGGGGTGGAAGGATCGGGAGGGAAAAGGCGGTGCGTTCAATTCGATCGTATGGATCGACCGATCGCACGGCACACGTTTGTTGTTACCAACGCCGCGCCGCGCCGCGCCGCGCGTGCGCTATTTTTGCCTTGCGTCGAGGGGACGACGAGCGTATGGGGCGCGACGACGAGGGAAATGGCCGTGGACGACGGGCAAAGTGGACGTACGGGGCGGTTGAGTTGGTTACTTGGGTAGTAGTAGTAGGGACCCTGCGTGGTTATTGATCTGGTAGCTATGCCCGGGTTCCAACTACTCTGTCCTGCTCTTTAAGCACCGCTGCGTGGGGGAGGCTACTTATTTCTCCTCTCGCCGTATATCTCTCTGCAGGCGCCATGCACAATGGGGAGTAGCTATCATTCGATAGTAGGAAGTGTCTATTCTTAAATCTGACATATATTATAGTGGCTAGGACTCAGTCGACTAAGACTTAACCAAATCTTGGTCAAGTGACATAACAATCTAGAAAAAAAAATCTGAAATAAAAATTTGCATGGATCTTAATGTAAGATCCTATGGATATAACATCGACTGAGACTTAACGAAGTCTCAGTCGACTGAAATTTAACAAGAATGTATATTATACACTTCTTATTTTCAGGTCGGCGATCTCAAGTTTTCAGCCTTGAGTTCTTAATTACTACCCAGCAAAAGTCATCTGCAACTTTAGGTGTGGAGATGCGCATCACCTTAAATTACACACGATCAATAGTACTTTGTACAAAATATGCGACTTTGATCTTTTTTTCTAGGGGATATGCGACTTGGATCTTGAATGACAAATCATATTCGGCCCTTATTCTTGAGAAACCTTTACTCTTCTCTTTCAAGCTGGGTGCGGCGCATGCATGTCGATGGATGGATGCATTCATGACGGTCAAATGTAGATACCATTAATGGTAAACTGGTTCCTACCCTGCACCCCAAATGGACAAATCGAGGATACTGACTGTACTACCCGTATATGTGCCCACAGGTTTTCCCAGCACCTGTGGGCCCACCAGTGAACAATGGAAGCTTCCGCGTCTCGCGGATCGCCGGATGGACCCTACCTGCGGCACGCCCTTTCGGTTTCGTCCACGCTACGCAATTCTATCGGTTCACACAACGGTAGTTGAGTGCACGATACAGTACACGCACGCATTGTCTCCTACCTGTGGCGAACCGGCAAATGAACCGAGGCAGCCGGTTGGTTCGGAGCGCGGCCGCCAAGGAATGAAGCGTCAACAACAAACGCGGCCATAATCTGCATTTATTCGGGACGGTGCTCAGCTCAACCGAACCGTGCATGGTGCCACTTGCACATGCACGGTGGATGTTGGGCCATGCCAAAGCCAGCCATGGAAGTTGCGATTGCACGAAATGTTGGAACTCCATTTTTCTTTCTTCGTCTTGGACCAGCGTATCCGGTGCACCGCCTCCCCTACTCGCACGTACTACCTTCCCGGCGGTGCCTAATTTATCACGAGCACGATGGACCATCCCGGTACGGTAAGTCATGCTATTCGAAAAGAAAAAGTTGTGCTATATAATGTGCATCTGCAAAAATATAGAGCAACATCTTTTTAAGGAACGCGCAAGAGAATTTGCACGTCACTTTTTCATTATGATAGGAGGAAGTAGTAGGATTTACAAAAATGGAATTGCACGTCGCTTCATTATGATAGGAGGAAGCAGTAGGATTGACAAGAGTGTTACTAGGCTGCAGAGATGAAGCACCAACGTCTACCCATCCACCAGAGGAAGAAAATTAAAATCGACTACTCACGCACGCCCACACCTCCACGTCCTATTGGCTTAAGGCGTTACAGAAGTAGCCACAATCTGCATTCACAGTCAATGGTTGTTGTAACCACGCCCACCGTGAGACGAAACATTGTCAAAGACCCGCCGATTTCTTTCCAACGAGAGAGTGCATGGTAAGAATCACGAGAGAATTCAACTCCTTCCTGCGGGAGGAGGGCGTGGCCAGACTTGTCGGCGTCCATCAATCCACCATGTCAACGTGTGGCAAGCAGGTGAAACCTTCCCATCCCATCGATTGTAGCATAGAAAGCCAAACCGTTCGCGCAAAGGACAAGAAGATGGGTGATGGTCTTTGCCCCTGAAGACACAATGGGCAGCAAGGCTGATGAGGCAATGCTCTCGCCATGAGAGGGTCCGAAGTCCAGCACCTATTCTTGAGCGCTAGCTAGGTGAAGAACTTTGTCAGCATTCCGGGGACGGGGGTATTCAGACTTGCCTGTCTGCGGCCCACGGCGAGGCTCCATCGACGGCCTGGTACGACGACCCAACTTCAGCAATAAACAAATCGAGACCCTCGCGGGGGGTGCTACCTCTTTAGTTTGCATTGGTTTTCCCTTGAAGAGGAAAGGGTGATGCAGCAAAGTAGCGTAAGTATTTCTCTCAGTTTTGAGAATCAAGGTATCAATTCAGTAGGAGACAACGCGACAAGCCACCGAATACCTGCACAAACAAACACCAACTTGCAACCAACGCGACAAAGGGGTTGTCAATCCCTTCACGGTTATTCACAAAGTGAGATCTGATAGAGATGGATAAACGGTAAAGTAATATTTTTGGTATTTTTGGTTTATGGAACGGAAAGTAAAAGATTGCAAAGTAAGGGAACGGCGACGGAAATTGGCAAGTTGACGGGAAACTAATATGTTGTAAAATAGATCCCGGGGCCATAGGTTTCACTAGAGGCTTCTCTCAAGATAGAAATAATTACGGCGGGTGAACAAATTACTGCCGAGCAATTGATAGAAAAACGCAAAGTTATGACGATATCTAAGACAATGATCATGAATATAGGCAACACGTCCGTGTCAAGTAGACCGAAACGATTCTACATCTACTACTATTACTTCACACATCAACCAACTCCTGCCTGCATCTAGAGTATTAAGTTCATAAGAACAGAGTAACACATTAAGTAAGATGACATGATGTAGTGGGATTAACTCAAGCAATATGACGAAAACCCCATCTTGTTATCCTCGATGGCAACAATACAATGCGTGTCGGTTCCCCTTCTGTCACTAGGATCAAGCATCGCAAGATTGAACCCAAAGCTAAGCACTTCTCCCATTGCAAGAAAAACCAATCTAGTTGGCCAAACCAAATCGATAGTTTTAAGAGACTTGCAAAGATATCAAATCATGCATATAAGAATTCAGAGGTGATTCAAATAATAGTCATATATAAGCTGATCATAAATCCACAATTCATCGGATCTCAGCAAACACACCGTAAGAGAGTATTACATCGAATAGATCTCCAAGAACATCGATGAGAACAAGGTATTGAGAATCAAAGAGAGAGAGAGAACAAGCCATCTAGCTACTAGCTATGGACCCGTAGGTCTGAAGTAAACTACTCATGCCTCATCAGGGAGGCAATGGTGTTGATGTAGAAGCCCTCTATGATCGAATCCTCCTCCGGCAAGATGCCAGAAAAGGCCCCTAGATGGGATGTCACACGTAGGACTGGGCGTTCGGTTTTGATACGTCTCTGTCGTATCTACTTTTCCAAACATTTTTGCCCTTGTTTTGGACTCTAACTTGTATGATTTGAATGGAACTAACCCGGACTGACGTTGTTTTCAGCAGAATTGCCATGGTGTTATTTTTGTGCAAAAATAAAAGTTCTTGGAATGATATGAAAATCAACGGAGAATTATTTTGGAATATATAAAAAAATACTGGAAGAAAGATCCACGTCAGGGGGCCCACCACCTGTCCACGAGGGTGGGGGCGCGCCCTACCCCCTGGGTGCGCCCCCTGCCTCGTGGGCCCCCTGACGCTCCACCGACCTCAACCTTGACTCCATATATTCACTCTCAGGGAGAAAAAATCAGAGAGAAGAATTCATCGCGTTTTATGATACGGAGCCGCCGCCAAGCCCTAAACTCTCTTGGGAGGGCTTATCTGGAGTCTGTTCGGGGCTCCGAAGAGGGGAATCCGTCGCCATCGTCATCATCAACCATCCTCCATCACCAATTTCATGATGCTCTCCGCCGTGCGTGAGTAATCCCATTGTAGGCTTGCTAGACGGTGATGGGTTGGATGAGATTTACCATGTAATCGAGTTAGTTTTGTTAAGGTTTGATCCCTAGTATCCACTATGTTCTGCGATTGATGTTGCTATGACTTTGCTATGCTTAATGCTTGTCACTAGGGCCCGAGTGCCATGATTTCAGATCTGAACCTATTATGTTTTCATCAATATATGAGAGTTCTTGATCCTATCTTGCAAGTCTATAGTCACCTATTATGTGTTATGATCCATTAACCCCGAAGTGACAATAATCGGGATACTTACCGGTGATGACCGTAGTTTGAGGAGTTCATGTATTCACTATGTGTTAATGCTTTGGTCCAGTACTCTATTAAAAGGAGGCCTTAATATCCCTTAGTTTCCATTAGGACCCCGCTGCCACGGGAGGGTACAACAAAATATGTCATGCAAGTTCTTTTCCATAAGCACGTATGACTATATTCGGAATACATGCCTACGTTACATTGATGAACTAGAGCTAGTTCTGTGTCACCCTAGGTTATGAATGTTACATGATCGATCGCATCCGGCATAATTCTCCATCACCGATCCAATGCCTACGAGCTTTTTCTATATTGTTCTTCGCTTATTTACTTTTCTGTTGTCACTGTTACAATCACTACAAAACCCAAAAATATTACTTTTGCTACCGTTACCTTTTGCCATCATTACCACTACTATCATATTACTTTGCTACTAAATACCTTGCTGCGGATATTAAGTTTCCAGGTGTGGTTGAATT